TAAAAAAGACGGATACTGTTATCAAAGAAATAAAACTGTAGACAAATAACGCAATCATTAACAACAAATTTTAAAAGATAAAGCTCACTTCTCTAACAACATTTAGAACGATGTATTTTTAACTAAAACAAAATCTATTTTTGTATTCGTAAACGTCTTAAGACGCTCTATAATTAATGGCAACATGTTTAATGATAAATAAAACACTCTATGAAATTGAATAGTGGAACTACATTACTAATACTATCTGGGACTTTGTAAAAAGAGAAACATGCCCAAAGTAACATTTTATATAAATTTAATTAATATTTGTATTTTATGATCATAGATGTTTTAGACATTTTTTTTATAGAAGGGTTACAAACGAACACACAGTCCACCTGATGGTAAGTGGATGGCACAGAAATCTAAATAATAAGGTAATTAGACTTCTGTGGTGGATGCTATGGCCCATAGATATTCTACATTTATCCTCGATCCTCAAAATGCAGATACGTTGTCAATCCTGAGGACTAAGATGGAATACCTCGTTTCCACTAAAAAGAAAAGGGTCTCCGGATCTCTAAACTTACCATACGAAACACAGAAGTATTAAGCTGCTACTTTACGCTGGCAAAATATCTGAAGTGACGCTTGCTTATTCAACAAAAGCATTTACGCAAAAGTTTTCGACCTAATATTCATGATAAAATTATGCTAACACTAATATAAAAGCATTAGTAACGCGAATTGTAATTTCAGCCTTTTGTACTTACTTATTTTCTCGCATCCGGCTTAGAATTCTTCTAAGCTAATTATGCTTACTGGTGATAAAATGTTGAAACTTACATACATAAATGGATTTTAAATCATTTTGTTTTATTATGAAATCTCCTCAGTCTATATTATCCTTGGACTATCAAAGAGAGACGGAGCGATGCATACGTTTCAAGTGATGCAAAACCATCAACTTCTTGACACACTTACGCATACATCACTCTCTATCTTTCTTTACGAGCACGTAAAAAAACAGTACAGAACACACACACATGCACCTAAAAGCACGTTAAATTAAGCTAATTTTACGAATATTATCGCGTTCAATTTTAACTTTTCAATAATGCTTTATAGCAACTATGGTCACTGGGAGGGGCACAAGGCTGAGGTGGTTAATGTCAGCTATATGTTTTTTACACGCTTTTTACAGATATTTTTGTTTGTCCTAAGTGTAAGAGAAAACTTGTCGTAAATGAATTCGATGTTTTCATGGGTTTTAAAAGTTGATCTGGTTTTGTCTGATTTTTTTAATGTCTTATGTTTCTCTATGCATGACAAATGGCGTTGAATTATCTTAATACGTGAAATTAACATCAAAAACAAATTATTCTACACTAAAAGTTAACAATAACATCACGTTTTTTTTTCGTGTTAGCTTTAAGTACCGTGTACGCATCAAAAAAGAATCGGCGATGGAACAAAAACATAATTCTTTCTCAGGTGAGCACATTAAATCACGATCGTGGCGTAGCGGCTCCGTTCACGGGGCCTTCATATCTACGTATAATATAATTGGCGACAATTTGGCATAAAGCCCAAGGATCATGAATTGTCCGACGCTGAGGCGTGCATATCATGAAGGATATTACTGAACTAATTACTTGGTTGAATTCGATTGACATATTTACAACCGTTCCAAAGATTATAAAGTTTAATAATAGCAAAACAATCCAACAAGTCGTTAATATAAAATTGAGAGTTCAACTGACATAACACTACCAAGTTGAGGTGTCGCGTGTTTTTTTTAATTCAATCATGCCATACTTGTAAATGGTATATTCAACGTTATCAGACACTTAAGCAATCAAAATCTTCGATTAAAAAATTATCTACTCTTCAGGCTCGCCGCGCATAACAATTACTGCGAAAATATTTAAATAGACGAGATTGCCTCCATAAACCTTAAGTGTTGTGTTTTACTGTTTTCATAAAAAAGCCACAACATGTTTTATGCAACGCACCTTGAATAATAAAAACCTTTAATGTACAATTTATGTACACATTTTTATGGATTGGTTAACAGGACATACGTCCAGCGAATGGAATAAAAATGTAAAAGAAAACAATATAAGGATCCATCATATTATAAACGATACACGCTTGTGAAATGTCAACTAAGTATAACACTCAAGTTAAATCAAAACGAAATTATCTCAGACAACAATTTACATTCTTATATATATAATCGGAATCTCGGAAACGGCTCCAACGATTTTCATAAAATTTTGTGTGCAGGGAGTTTCGGAGGCAATAAATCGATCTAGCTAGGATTTATTTTTAGAAAATGTCTTTTGGTACGATGTCGTTACAATACGAAGGTACTACTTTTAACAGTTTATTAATGATTACAAATAGCTTAATTATAATTGGGCGGTCACAAAATCGTAATACCATGGTTCGAGCCCAGATCGACCGACCGACTTTTTTTAATTTTTTTTATGAAGTTCCTTTCTTTTTTTGAGAAAATCTATTTTTTCAAGCCCTTTTTTTTAGTATTTTTTAAAAACACGAAAATTTAAATTAAACTAATTGCACTCATGATTTTTTATTCAAATAACCAGTTCAGTTTTTTCTATTATGTCGCTAAGATCAAAAAATATTATTCGTATTTCATCAGTATGTAATTTGTGTCTAAATATAATTTCCAAAACACACGAATTAAAAAAAACCGAGCGAAAAATACCGAGCAAAGCTCGGTCAACCGGGTACTATCTATAAATCTATATAATATTTAAAAATAAAAATCATTTTAAACTATTTATACTTCTGTTTAAAAGAACTAATTGGCATTAAGTGACCATGTAGGGGCGGTGTAAGAATATCCACAAGCCCATATCATCCCGTGGGTGTCGTGTGAGGCGACAGAGGGAAACTAATCGACTTAAATTAATAAAACGACTAAAAATAAAAACTGCGGTTACCAATCCGCCCATAGCGTGGCAACTGTGTCAAAGATCTCCCCTATGAGGCTATCTGTGGGGGAGGCATTTGTTCAGCAGTGAACTTTAATACGCTGTCACGGTAGTGGTAACATGTATATTTGACAATTTCACCATTAACACTTAACTGTTTCATTGCTTAACACATAACTTCAATCGTCTACATCTACAGCTACATTTACACAAATTCAATACATACATCATTCATCAGTACGTGAACAGTCCGAAATGAAGCTCTCTCACCACTCTCAGTAGGGTGGATTTACTAGAATGACCAATATTGGCAGTTTTGGCAGCTCGTTGCGTCCTGTCGCCGGTTTGGGCATAATATCTACAGAGGCCATAAATTCTTTTTGTTTTAATGTCGTTGCAAAACACAAATGTAAATTTTACCGTATCGTTTAAAATCAAATATCATCTTGACAACACCCGCAAAACCCCCAAATAACAAGTAAAACAACGCCATTGGTATTGACTTAAATTAGTCCCACTATTTATTTGACGGGAGCGAAACCTCAAAAAAATCCATTTAAATTGCGTAGATTCCAAGCCCATCATCACGTTGCTCGAAGTGTTCCTTCATTACCCGGAATTTCGTAATTCTGTCCGTTATCGCTGTGCACACTGCCCATTAACGTACTCGAAAGCTATTGTTTATTGTACAGGTTTATCTAGTGCCGCGTTTTAGTTTTTAATCTTATCGCGAAGATTATCATTCGATAGCGTGCATACACCAAGAACTATCTTACCGTGGACATTGAAAATGTTATTTTTAAATAGCGTTGACAACCAGAACTTTTTACAATGTGTTTATTAGCTTATTTGTATGTCTGTTCGAGTGATTTAAACTAACTTCATGATAAGCAAGAGACCCAGGATCGAATGAAAATGTAAATGTGAAAAGAACGTGTTATATTTAAAAAAAAAGTTATTTAATCATAATGCCATTAAATTTTACGCAATATGTTACACTAGGGAGTTTACTTAATTCAATTAGGTAGGTACGAAAAGTGTCGGCGTTATATGGGTCTCACAGTGAGATGTTACCAATTTTAGAAGATTAAATTTTGTCTATAGTAAATAATATGTGAGTATATTCGTAAAATGAAATACTGTGTCGAACACGATGAAAATGATCTTTAGCAAATACAGTTATTATACTTTATAATAATTAAAAATACATAGAAGAAATTTAGGCAACAAAGTTTAAAGTGAATATTTTTAGATAATAATTATTAATAGGTATCCCAGGTGTTATAGCCTATAAATCTAAGCTAGTGATTCTATAACAGACAGTCCTAGTCACGGAGTGTAAATTTAGCGCGCCTATTCTTAGATATCGAAATTTAGACCTACAATTTCCCCGAAATAGCACAGCAGACAGCAGAGATAACGACGGACTACGCGGCGGTTGGTATGTCAAGATTAATGCATATTAAACTTGTTACTGGTTATATTTACATAATTTAAAGCAATATTTTTCATCTCATATCACTCTGAAACAGTATCACTTAACTCTTTTAAACAAAATATCCTTTCTATTCGCTTACAAGCTTTAACTACGTAGTACTATTATATATTCTGTGCTTTAACTACCAGTATTTTTTACTTTTTTGCACCACCACTACGCGTAAACAAATTTATTAAATTCTATAATCCTTGATTGTATACTCTTCCTATGGTAGACTCTACGAGTTCCGTTGTTCAACGCAATATTTCTATTCTCATTCCACTCTTTAACACAATATCACTTAAATATTTCAAACATACATGTTTTTTTGTTCGTTTTAGTTTAGTTCGTTAGTAACTGCCAGTGTTTTCAACGTTTTCAGCATTATTTATAACGCATAAACAAATTTGTTAAATCATTATATGCTTGCTTGTTAAGTATTCCTATGGTAGGCTCTACAAGTCCTATTGTTCAAATGAAATCGAAGTGACAATATCAAACAGGTTTTCGAGTATTAATTTAGGTATCTCCCATGAAGGAATGACCAGACAACAAATGCTTGCGAAAAGTCAACAATGTCAGATCGGGATCGGGAGTCGGCGTGCGATTCGAGCTCGGGGCTCATCCGTCGGCTCGAGGCAATTAGAGGCACGCTCACAGCTCACAGTGGGCACAATAGCGATGCAAATAATCGCGATTATGGCAAGGTTGACGTCGGCCGCAGAGGGTTCGTTCAACTGACCGCGAGCGATGACACGGCGCCCGCGCAACGTTGCGGCCCCGCCACCACAAGCCATCATCTCATCACATCATGAGATCCAGATTTAAACCGTTCTTCAACCTAAATATCGGTGTCGAACATAAAAATGTTATGACGCAATTCGATGAAATTATTTTTGAAGTTATTTCACTCACCAAGACCCTGGTCCCTGCAACTGGTGCAGATAGCAATCCAAATATCGCACTACACTTCCAAAGAACTATACTTTACGAACTTCAACCTCTAAGGAAATAAAAAACTTGTCGCAACATAACACAGCAGACGCGCGAAGCGTACGCGCGTCGAAAACAATCGGACAGATGTCTCGGAAAACCCCTAGAGCACTACGCGGGCGCGGATCAACGCAGTATGTAAATATTATGCTTCGACTGGACAAAGGTTTTTGTTATCTAAAACCGATGTGAGCGAGTGTACGGGACGCGAGATGCGCGGTCAGCGACGGTGCGTGGAGTGAGGCTCGCGCGCCGGCCCCGCCGCCGTCTGATAAGGCTGGCGCGACGCCCCCCGGCGACGCCTACGCCCCACTCGGCGCCGCAACGGTGCATCGTAAACACCACCGCACCACAAGCCGCCCCTCAGCACCAGACGGGCCCCCGCACACCGTATGTATGCACCGCGCCTACGCGAAATTTCACAAGCGCAACGCGCAGTTGCAGCGACATCGACAACTTTCCACTCCTTAAAAAGACGAGGAAACTGAACGCCGATTGCGTAACGATACCAGCCCAGATACCGATGAGAACAATGAGGCGCAAACGAACGCAGCCTTTTTAGTATCCTCCTAATTGGGCTGAGGTGCGTCGGGCAGGCTGAAACTCAATATGCAACGCGATCCGCTCGCTACATAAACAGAATAATTGAATTAGTGCGAGCGTGTCGAGCACGAGCAGCCGCTGGCATTGACCACCTATGAAGCTGCAGTGTCGAAATGCACAGCTGACATCATAACCCCATTTCACTTCAACGCCTCCCGCAAGACAACAACAGTGAGCCAAACGTTAAATCCCAAAGCCTTAAAACTATTAAGTTTAATTCTAATTAACTACTAAGAAATATTATAAGTAAACATTTTGATCCGAAGTCGGCTCCCAGTGTACACTTACAAAAATTTATATGCAAGACCTTATACTTTAGAGTAATGTAAAATCTTTGAAGCATGACCGAATAATACATTAATCCACAAAATATAATACAAATTATTTTAAATCGAAAGTTGTAAACAAAAAGCTACTTTATTCCCTTCAAATATAACTTACTATTAGATCGTATAAGCATAAATCGATAAAATAAATCATATCAAAACATGTGCGTCATTAACTTAAAATAATTGATCGTAATATCTTTGTATTATTTCACCGAACAAATATTAAACCACGAAAAGTCATTATCAACAAATAGGAAAACATCAAGATGTCATTTTGAAAAACCTAGCTAAGTCAAATAATTTTTTACGTGGTAGAGCCATGCTGCAGTTATGGGTCGGCTCGACCGGGGAAAGACCGCGCTCTCACAGCATACCACGTATGGTGAGTGTAGAGAACCGGAGACCCTTTTTACTGGAAACGAGGCATTCCATCTTAGTCGTCACGGGTGACAACGCATTCGCATTTTGTTTTGTAATTGAGGATAGATGTAGATGTCTATGGGCCGCAGCAAGCACTTACCATCAGGTGGACTGTGTGCTCGTTTGTCACCCTATCCTATAAAAAAATACACTATGTTCCTATCTCTAATATGTGACCAATAGCTGTGAATTATATTTTTTTCAATAAGCAATTGCGATATTTTTTATAGAAAATCGTACCTACTATCAACGGGTAAGAACCGCAGACAGAGACGCACTGAGGAAAATAATTTTACTGTGGATAGGTTCGGTGTTATAACTTAAATATTACTAAAAGGTTTAAATTTAAACACACAAAAACGATTACATTAATTGCAGAGGATACGCGAACTGTGTTTGCTTCCTAATCTCTGTTTACAAGTTCAATGGCCGCCGTGCAAGTGGCATGACCTTACGTAGTTTGTAATTTATAATTAGTAATAACGTGCAAATTCGATAAATATTAGGAAAATAACTTAATGTAAAACTTATTATGATTCGACGCGCATTTTTAGTCTACTTACGTAAGAAAAATTATTTTTTTTCTGAAATACGAATCCATATTTAAATATTTCTTAATTAATAATAAATAAACATTACATAAATACATAAGCTATACATAAACACTCACACCTATCACCCAGAGGGGTAGGCAGAGACTACAGACTTCCATTTGGCACGATCCTGACATACCTCTCTCTTCTCCTCCACATCCAAATACCAACGCATACATGCTCGTCTGTTAAGGGTACTCCTAGTTTGGCCCATTTTTAATATATCGTGAATTTGGTCGATAAACTTTCGCCTAAGACGTTTTTTAAGACGAATTTACTTTGTCACTCTTTTCTCATTCATTCTTTCCACATGACCAAACCACCTAAGCATTCCTCTCTTAATCTTAGTCACATCATCTTGCAAACCACACTCTTCTCTTATCACACAATTTCTCACCCTGTCACTCAGATTCAACCCTAACATACTCCTTAACGACCGCGTTTCTACTGCGTTTATTCTACTCTCGTGCTTCTTCTGCCACACCCAACTTTCACCATTACTTACCTCAAAACGTTAAAGTAGGGACCAACACAGCATTGTGATCTCGAATGACTTGACTTTCCACAATAGTGTATCCCATTTACGCTACCTTTTACCTTTCTTTTATTTGAAAGGAAATTATCATAATAACTAATTATTTATTAATCGCAATGATATAAACACAAAAATAAACATTGGTTTGTTTTGTAAACGTTTAAAATGCCATCTATTAATATTTTTTTTAATTGAGTGATATATAAACGAAATTATTGTCAAGCACAAAATTTGACTCTTCCGAAACGCATCGGAAATTACGAACTGCGTGGGAGTAGCTAAAATACGTAATTGGTTTCGGCGAATTGGGCCGAGTAACCAGTCGGTTGAAACACATTAATTCCGAGCATACAAGCTGCAACCTTTATAAATGCGGATCCTACGATCTTTATAACCACATATTATACGGTTATTAGAAAATCGATACGTTTAAAAAATCACAGTGTCCAACAGAGACTGTAGTAACAAATACGAATGTTATAAAATATAAATGTAAGCTACAATTTACCTGTAATAAACGTTTCTATGTTTAGCTTTTTCTATAACATATTTTTATATTTTTATTTTTTATAAAATATTTTTTTATTTTGCACGTAATTACTGGCCAACAAGGTTTAAACAACATAAAATGGTGGTGTGGTCAAGTATCGAAAAACCTTACAGGCCAGTATCTGATAACTTCGCGTATTGAAATTCTAAAGTTATGATTTTCAAGAATGTAAATTGACGTCGAATTTCGGGACATTGTATTGGCTTAAGGAACGGTGATTTATACAAGACTCGGTGAAAACGCAGCCGACGTCGTAAATGTTTACGAGTGCATTACTCTCGATCTGGCACGCCCGTGTAAATTACCCTTTTCAAATGGACAACTTATAACACATTATACAACCCCACATTTGTTCACTTAACAAATATTAGTACATAAGTCATAAACAAGTCATCATTTATTATTCATTATTTTTATATCATTATCATAAATTAATAAAAACTAAGAAACCGACTTCTGTGATCAATTATGTGCTTGCTTGTAGAGCGCTATATTGTTCCGCGAGTGTCCGATTAGTTACATCACCATAAACAATTGTAGCCTATAAGCTCTTCAAAAACCAATCTAGTCACAAAGGAACAGAAATACGGACTTACATAAATACACATCGAAAAAACAACCATCCTTCCGGACAGTCGGGCAAATGGTACTTTTTAAGATTCCCAACAAGTTATTTTTTATAACAACACAATAGGCTCATTCAAACTTCACAGCGTATTCAATAACTGTAAAAACGTTACCGAATCCTTTGTTGTGTTTTAATAAAAATTCGCCGTATATCGTATTGTTCTGTATGAAACTGAATTTGGTGGAATACTTTTTGTAGTTTACGTGCGCGTGTGTAGCGTACGTACCTTTAAGTCGTAATATGTAGTAGTTTTATAAATTTTTAACTCGTTTACCCCCTCTTCTACAAAAAAAGTAATTCCACTAAGCATCAACTTAAAAAATAATTGTTAACCACGTCAGTACAAAGAAATCCCGCTGCCAGGCACAAACCTCTAATTTCTAAGTGAAATGAGACGTAAGTACAAAGTGCTGAAAGACTGTAAGGGAATTTGTGTACGATTTTAAGATCAATTGTGGGACCACAAATAAATAAAATAAAATTGAATATATAAAAGAAATTCCTTTATTGATGTTATAATATAAAACCAGATTATTTTATGATACCCAAACGGAATATGTTATATATGTATATTAAAAACCAATTAACCTTACTTAAACCAAATAAAATGTACAAAGTATATTCATAATGACACACGTGGGTCGTCTGAGAAATCCGACGGGTTACATTGGGCCCACATAAATTACGAGATTAATCTCTTCAAACAATTTGACCTTTACAACTGACGAGGGTTCATTAAATAATGGCATTGGTATTGGGACTGATGTTATTGTGCCGTCGATCAATTTTGGTCTGAAGCGGAATAAGAGGTTGCTCGACACAGCCCCCATGAAAGCGTCGGAGCAGGGGATTATTCAATGGCATTTGATAAACCTTAATTCCGAACATTGTCATATAATCAAAGCTATCATCCGTATGATACGAAATATTTCATGATAAGTAAATATGTGTATTAATCGCTTTAAAATGTCCTCAAATAAGAATCTTCCTTTAAAATATGAAACGAAAGCAGTGGGGTGGTTTCCTAAAGAATAGTAGTACCTGATGGTAAGTGGTTAAATGTTCAGCATTTTAATTTAATAGTTTGTAACGATGATGGCGATAATAAATATTAACTACAATATCTGACAGCTAAGTAGTCAGATTGAATATCATACAATAGAA